CTGCAGTAAATTATTTTCAATAAGGAATTTAAGAGATGTACTGGTTTTTCATCTATTTCAGCGACATGAAATTTTCTCCAATAAAAAGTCATAGCTATATTTTTTAATGATTACATGGATAGATCACTTAAGCTTTATAAAAATAAAATTAAAATGTATCTAAAAGTCAAGTGTAATTTCGTGTACTTACAAATACAAAATCCTTAATAGCAAATTTTAGTTCGTAATTTTATGTTATTTCAATTCCAGGAGCCAACTTTATACATAGTGAAAGGCATGTGTATATTGGATAATGAAGGCAACAGAATCTTAGCTAAGTATTATGACAAAAACATACTTACAACTACAAAGGAGCAGAAAGCTTTTGAAAAAAACCTATTCAACAAGACACACAGGTAAAGTATACAACAGCATTATCTAAGTGGTTTTATATTGAATGAAACAGATATATTTGAAGAAATTCCATGAATTTGCATAGTCAACCACCTCGCATTGGGCTAGTATGGTTTACTAAGGTGTTGCCATCCTAAGATCTAGTCCGAGGCCTGTGTGCTTGAACCTCTCATTAAGTTCTATATGTCCCTATTTGTATATGCAGTTCCTCCTACTAATATTATAATAGTAACAACTAAGGTTATTGCAACTACCCAAAAAAATAGTTTTTTTTTCATTTGTTCCCTCCCGGTGCTGACAGATACTTTTTTCTTTTTCCTATTTAGTTTTTCAGGTTATAAGTGTTTGATGTCTTATAAAGTGGCCATTATTAAATGTTTCCAGGGCCAATGCTGAGATCATAATGTTGGACGGCTTGACATGTGTCTACAAAAGCAATGTGGACCTCTTCTTTTATGTTATGGGCAGCTCACATGAGAATGAGGTATTTGTCAATCTATACTATTATAATAAAGCATAAACACACATTTCTATGTTGCCTAAGATGTCAGCAATCACAGCATATTTCTGAATATTTTTTTAATAAAAAGCCCTACACTTACTCCATTAAACTTAAGTGGTAAATATTTTGGATAAAAACCCTAATGTGAGAAAGAGACCATAAGTTGTTGCCAATATCATGAAAGGAAGATTGCTAAGGTTTGTCATGTTATGTCATTTTGACATTTGCTATTGATAATTTAAAAAACAATAAAATACAATTTTCATAATTTCATGCGGATGAAATCACACGGGAATAGCTAGTTGTATAATAAAAAGAGTTTGGCAATACTAATGTCAGGGTAGTGCGCAATTTGGTAAACATGCTGGACAACATTCACATATATACCTTAAACTTGTTTAGACATGGGTTGCCACAAAAAAAATATATTCACAGAAGCTAGTAGCAATAAACCAGCACTTGAAGATATGTAGCTATTCTTATTGCTTCTATCAATTAGTTGATTTGTGAAAGTGCTAGAGTATTTATTACTTCTGTTAAAGTAAATTGATTTCTGTTTAATTTAATTACCACTAGCTGTTGCTTGCGACATTGTCCACATGAAATTAAAAAATAGTAAAAAAATATAACCTATATTCCTCATAACACAGCTTTCTAATGTTGAAAGAATTTTTCTAATTAGCTCAGTAATTTTTGAGTTTTTAAATACATACAAAAATCCATAAATACAAATCTTTCCACTTATAACAGTAGTATAGATATAGGTTACTGGAATACTGAAGTGTGTTTAAAATTATATTTGAATATTGGAATTTTTCTCTATCTATCTATACTTCTATTCTATTGTAATAAAGCGTAAACACACACTTCTTTGTTGCCTAAGATGTCAGCAATTACACCATATTTTTGAATAATTCTTTTTATAATAAAAAGTCTATATATTTTCACGCCATTAAACTTAGGGGGTAAATATTATGGATAAAAACCCTTATGTGGGAAAGAGACCATAAGTTGCTGCCAACATCAAGGAAGCAAGGTTGCCATGGTTTGACATCATGTCATTTTGACATTTGCAATTGATAATTTGACAAGTGTAAAGAATAAAATGAAATTTTTATAATTTACTGTGGATGAAGTCGCACAGGAACAGCTAGTTACAACTAATAAGATGTTAGAAATTATTTAGAGGATAACTTATTATGAAAATATTGTTTTCAGTTGATCCTGCAATCAGTGCTGAATGCATTGTACGAGTCAGTCAGCATACTATTGCGCAGAAATGTTGAAAAGCGAGTCATCATGGACAACTTGGACTCGGTGATGCTTACCTTTGACGAGATCTGTGATGGAGGGTACGTTGAATCTTATATTGTTATAGAATATTATGATTTTTATTATAAGGCTTATTTTATTTATAATATGGGGTGAGATTAAACAAAATAACAAATTTTTAATGAAGCTTAGTACATTGGAACCTCAATAAGTTACAGTCCAAGGGAAATACAAAATGTTAAGTTATAGAGGTTTTAAGTTATCAAGGGTCTATGATATATAGGTTTTGGGCTCTGATAAGAAGGGAACATATTATTTTTGAAGTCATAGAGGTTTTTAAGTTATCGAGGTTTGAGTTTTCGAGTTTCTACTAGTCAATATGTTAGTCAGAACTGCCTTTAAATAGCTGTTTCTGAGATTAACCTGCACACTACAAACATTTCAATAATAGTTTTGAGTTCTATACCATTGTTAGAGTCGCTCTATAATCTTTTTGATGTCATATGTTATAAATCAATGTACATCGGATGCATCCAAGAAATGGCACTGACTTCACTGTTATATTCCGCTTAAGCTGACAGTGTGAGCGAGACCGTGGAACGATAGAGAGGAACGATCGGTTTAAGCGTTTGTAATATTGGGCAGTAAAAGGGTCGGATGAAAGGAGACAACATATGGCAGAAATGACAAGGTTAAGATGGATGTATGGGGTAACACAAATAGGATACAAAATGAGTATATTAGAGTAGGTTTGAGAGTAGCCCCAATGGTAGAGAAGGTAAGGAGTAAAAGGTTAGCATGGTATGGGCATGTTATGAGGGATGAATCGCATGCAAGGGAAACGTTAGTTATGAGTGTGGAAGTGTACACCGGTAAAGGTAGACCTAGAAAGAGATGGATGGATTGAGTGAAAGGTGACATGATCAAAAAGGAGTGATGACTGGGATGACGTATGATAGTTATTTGGAAGAAAAAAAAACTGTTGTGACCCTACGGGAGTAGGATAAGGAGAACGATGTTGATGATATTTTCATATAGGTACTTTATTTTTAATGTAATTAAGATATAATTGTATGTATATTCCAGAGTGATCTTGGACTCTGACCCGACGTCCATCGTGGGTCGCGCGGCGCTGCGCACGGAGGACGTGCCGCTCGGCGAGCAGACCGTGGCGCAGGTACATATCATAGACAACTTCAATAAACTCTTCTGGTGACATTGTGGTTTGACTCAGCACATGTATTATAGAATTCAAACTTTATGGTCGCTCGTTATAAGTGACCTTTGATCAAATATTGAGAAATTATTACCCACTTCACATTTTTTAATGTCTTTATTGGTGACTTATCAGTATTGACCTCAGGAAAAAACTTTCTTTAGAAAAAAAACCATCACTACTTTACAATTATCTCAAAAATCGTGTTTGATTATGGGTTAATGGATATCTTAACGGGGAACTTAGTGACACATCAATATGTTGTCTCTATTTTGTTGAAGGTAACAAAAGGGATGACAATGTAATGACACGAATCACTGCAATTAAGTTCTATTGTTAATTTGTGTTTAGATCTTTTCATGATACTCCGATCATCCATAAAGTTTGAATACCACTGTAGTTGTAGTGTGTATTTTTTTATTGTCAATTAAAAATAATTACTAGAAAGAGTGCTTTAGAATGCCTCTTTTTAGTATATTTTTCATATACTCAAATTATGTATTGTACTAAAACAATTTTTAATAATTTTTTTTATTGATTTTGCACCATATTTAGGTTTTACTAGTTTTTATTAGATGTAGTTTGAGTTTTTTCACTTTTGATATCCATTTTTAGCTAACGTTTTACCAAATGTTACGTAATTTGTTTTTTTTGTGCGGATATTTAAATTTTTTTAATCATTGATTGGTGTATGATTCTCTTAGGAAATTTTGAATTAACATAATAAATATATACAATTCAAGTATACATAAATTAAGGGATCTTTTTATATTATCTTTTTTATACAAACATAAGAGTGATTGAGATTAAAAACATGCTGTTTTATGAAAAAAAAATAACATATTTTATATATATAAAAACAGCAATAGCTATGAATAATGTCATTGACTAACCAATAACTTATTAAGAATTTCTTTTCCGTTGTTCGTTTTAACATTTTTTCTACTCTTGGCTCATGATAACGTTTTTTTTTTTCTTTTACTTCTTTCATCTCTTGGTTCATGTTAACATTCTTTTTTTAAAAAATTCGAATTTCGATTTTTCTGTTTTTTTTCTTTTAACTTTTTCTTATCTCTATCCAACTTTCAGATAATATTCAACAGTTGGGATCTGTAAGTTACTAACATCAGTGCCATTTGGGATGTTTTAGTTGTTTTAACTTTTTTATTTCTGGCAATAAACTGGTAGAATTAATTCTGTTTTTCAGATTCTAACCTATCTAATAAAAAGCAATTATTAGAGGTATTTAATATAAATTCTGCAAATTTGTTTGTATTCTTAATTGTATTTTCTCATTTGTTTTTTTTTTCTTTATGATTAAATGTTGATTACTTAATTAGTTTTTAATTTTGGAAAACTAAACACCCTTTTTAGTAACTTTTTTAATTTAAAAGCAAATTTTGGTTTTACACAGAAAAAAAACAATCCTATGCTTTTTTTTTTCGGAAATCTATCTAAGGTCTCCTTAGGTTTTTATACTATTGAGTTTGCTAAAATTGTCCAAAAGTATAATATTCGAATACGCAATGAATTCATAAAGGGGATTTTATGATCCAAATAATTTAACATATTACAGTTAATATGGTAAGTAAATACGTGAATAAATTCAAATGATAATGTGTATGAGAAAAATGAAAACCATTCTGGTAAAAACTATTTTTATCTTCAAGATAGTATTTTATTGTAGATACTTTGATTTAAAAATATTAACGTGATACAAGTTTATTGCACATTGTAATTTGTTAACTCCCCTATATTATGTATTTTGTAATATTTTATTTACAAATATTGGTAAGTATGCTAAGAGAATTTATAATTATTTTAATGAATGATTTAATTTATATTCTACTAGCTGTTGCTCGCGACAACGCCCGCCTGTAAATAAAAATACTGAGAAACATAGCCCATGGCACTCACAGATAAAGTACCTTTCTAAGTGTGAAAGAATTTTTAAAATCGGTCCAGTAGTTTTTGAGTTATTTCAATACAAAAAAAAACAAATCTTTTCTCTTAATATAAAGACAACGAATTGAGGTTATTATATATGTTTTTTTAAATAAATAGCACATAAACAAACAGTACATCTAATATGTGAGCACTTAAGTAAATTGTGAACATGCAAGTAAAAAAAAAAATAAAATATAATAGGAAGTAAGAAATGTGGACGTCCTTAAGGCAATATTCCACTGTCAAAATACCTGTACTGAGATATAGTCTTCAAATAAATTAAAGACAAATTGTTGTTGTACAGTCAGCTGCATAAATATGAATCCATTTACAAAAGTTTAAAAACTTATATAAATATTTGGTTTTAAAATTATATTCATCTCTATTAGTAGGTGGGGGGACAGGTCCTAAACTATTGTAAATTTTACAGATATACAATTATATCTAAAGATATGTTAGTATTGTTAGTTAATTTACTTTAATATTTGTGTAAATATAACATTAAAAAAAATTGGATGTTAGGTTTTTATTGCTATTCCTTTATTAAAATACCGATCTTGCATTTAAAATGTTTATCGAGGAGTTTGGAAAAATCATGCATTTAAGGGTGAAAGAATTCTTTTTGTTATAGAAATTTTTAGTTACTTCCTCCTTGTTCATTGCCAGGCAACCATTGTATACATATTAATGTAGCTGACTGTACATAATAATTTGTAATAAATTATTTTGATAAATAAGTTTTCTGTTTATTACAGGTGCTGCAGTCAGCCAAGGAACAACTTAAGTGGTCGTTGTTGAAGTGAAACTAAATATTAATTGCACTCAGTCACTAAGTTAGAGAAATCTGTACTTAGCGACATTTAAGTAAACCATTAATGAGTGTGCAAGCATTTATTTATATTCCATAATTTCATAATATATTATATACATTGCAAATTAGTGTTTTATTTACAACTAAACTTTGTAAATATTCTGTATCTGTTTATTAATAAAAAAACACAATATTTAATTGATTTTATTCAACATTAACAATATATACATAAAAAAAATTATTTTTCCATTTCCGTTGCCAAAAGATTTATGAACTCATACCAAATTCATCGGGAGTCGGTTTTAAACTTAATTTTGATATTTGTTTGAAAGCAGGACTATTCTTGTCTCGTAATAGTTTGAATAACACGTTTTCTGATGTACCAACAAAACAACCTATGGATTGGAAACGCTGAAACAAAAATGTAAATCATTATTTTCCATATAGTAAATATTTTAAAATTCAATTTTATAATATTAGAAATACACTTATTTTATGTTACAAATCTCAAATTAAATAATCTATTATTCATACAATTTTGATTATATAACTAAGCAAAACAAAATAAATTAAACTGAAAAGAGTAAATCCAGAAATAACTGTAAATAGTATTACTAAATCTACCCAACCAAACTTCCACCATAATATTTATTTTTAAACTACCTTACATATTTCTACAGCTTAGAAGTGATATCATAACCTAGAATATCAACTGTGGGCACTTTATTAAGTTTAGATATATGTTTGAAAGCGGGATGGTTCTTATCTCGTAGCAACTTGAACAAGACATTCTCTGATGTTGTTATAAAACATCCCAATGATTGCATCCGCTGTAATAACCAAATCAATCTTATAATGCTTTGAAAGAATCTACACTAATATAATAAAGCGTAAACACACACTTTGTGGCATAGGATGTCAGCAAAGCATATTTTTGAATAATTCTTTCTTTAATAAAAAGCCCTACACTTACAACATGCTAGGTTTTATACTTTAACGCTATAAAACTTAGGGGGTAAATAAATTGGAAAAAACCCTCATGCAGGATAGGTACAAAATCTACGCCAACAGCAGCATAGAAGCAAGGTTGCCATGATAACGGTAATTGTTATCCAATTTCAAAGGGCTTCGTTGTCATTTGAATTTTAACATTTGCAATTGAAAGTTTTACGAAATATAAATAAAATACAGTTCTTATAATCGGTATGGGAATAATCATATTAATATCATAAATGCGAAAGTTTAGATGGATGGATGTTTGTTAGTTTGTAGCTTAAATGGATTTCGTTGAGATTTGGTATAGATGTAGAGGCTAGTCTGGAAGAACACATAGGCTAAGCTAAGCGTTAGCTAGTATTCTAGAAATGTTTCTAAAAGTTTATCTTTAAATGTTTGTAAATCAATCTTAAAATGTTTTCGAGGTAGCAATTATCTTAAAATGTTTTCGAAGTAACAGTAATCTTAAGACATATCCGAGATAACAATGTTATATAACAAACCAGATATCAATTATCAGGTAATTATGACTTAAATACCATAAGCAATAATATTATGCAATATTATTGTTATACTAGCTTGCGCCCGCGACTCCGTCCGCGTGGAAAAAGATCAAAAGTTAGTAGCCTATGTGTTCCTCCAGACTATCCTCTACATTGATGCCAAATTTCTGACATCCGTTCAGCTGTTTAGGTTACAAACTCTAACAAACGTCCATCTAACTAAACTTTCGCATTTATAATATTAGTAATAATGTAACAGTATTAAAATATACTGTTCTTTGTTTTCCAAAGAGAATGGGAGACAATATTGTCCCAATATGTGGATAACTAAATAACTACCATTTTGGCATTGCATTATAATAGTTTTCTTATTGACAAAATATTATAACTACATGAATTATATTCTGGTCGAGCTGTGTCAAGTTTTCTCAAGCGATTCAAATAATATTTTTATGTTCCTGTTGGAAAAGTGGAAAAACAGATATGTTCAAACTAAGACTACCAATATAAGGAATCCATATTAAATATTAAACAGAAAAGTGTGTTTTTTTTTCAAAAGTATAATTTTGTAGTTATTAAGTTTTCCACTTATGGGACAATATGTTAGTACAATTAATAAAATATAGATAAATCATAAGTATAAATATCTAGTATATAATTTATTACCTGTAGTGCTAACCCTCTATCCATTAATGATCTTGAAGATACACCATCAGCCAGAATATGAACATTGATATCCTCACTCAGTAAATCAATCACTGTCTGCTCTATACAAACATGGGCCTGAAACATTAAAATGCCAGTTACTGGCTTACTTTCATGCATCTGGCATAATGTACAGGATAAACTGACATTGTGCCAGCAAAAAAGATAAAAAAAAGTAACTTACTTCAATCCCAAACAATACAACCGAGTTCAAATTAGGTATGTCTTTCTTTAGCTTTTCCTGCAGCTCTGGAGTATACATGGAAAACTTAGTCTTTTCGTAAACTAAAGCTGCCTCAGATATGTTAATATCTTTTGTGGTAGGACCCAAACCTTTTGGATATTGCTCGGAAACATATAACGGGATATTGAACACTTTTGCTGCTGCAACCTAGAATGGAGTAAAAAAACTTTTTAATATCTCAACTCAGAGGTTACTTCTGGAGATCTCCAGCAACATGAAATGGTTGGGATTCTTCTTAGGATTAGCTGGAGTGAACCATGTTTCATTTACATGTAAAATATATATACCAGTCCTAGGGATATGGAAAACCAGGATTTATAGCAACCATTGTAAAACTTCAGCGCTATACTTAGTTTTTATTAAGATTTTGTGGTGTATTTAGAATAAGGTGTTAGTAAAAATAACCTATTGCTTCCATTATACAAATTACAAAAGTCAAATTGTATGATTTGAACCTTCAACCACTTGATTGTAAATCCACGCCCTTAATCATTAAGCTAATGAGCATTAAATTTATGCTAAGTAATTTTCTTATATCCTAAAAATAAATCTTCAAAAGATAACCTTCAATTTGAAATTTTTCACATTCAAGATAACACTCTTACATATTAATGAATCTTTGATTTGGTTTAATTAAGACTAAATACCTACCATTTTATTCGCCACTTTAACAACTTCGCCGAAATGTTTTATATGAGGTCGAAAGGTTTCTTGAATGTCACATAGGAGGAAAGCAGTTTTTTGAGCCTCCAGAGCTCCCAATTTAAGGATGTTGCGAGCCATTACGTAATAACGATCTGAAATCTGAATATACACAATACAAAATATTATTACTTGTACATTCTTATAAACACAACGCAACTAAGATAATACGACGATAAGATAAATTGTATAAAACTTGTTGACAATGACATTGACTTTGACAATTGTCTCTTGAACATAGATAATATAAATTGTTCGGTGCCATTTTTATAAATATTTTTTTTGAATAAAATCAGAATAATGTTCCCAAAACATGCTGATGTAGTGTTTTGCCTCATTTCCCAAGATACGAACAAATGTACCTTTTTTTGTACCTCAGATGTGAAGGATTTATATCGTATTTAAAATATATCATCAGAATAATAATCGCAAAAAATGTTGGTTGCATATTTGCTGTTATCAAAAGGGTAGGCGCTGTCTGTAAAACCGAACCGAAAACCTTTCAGTGAACAAGTTGTTTGGTTTGATTCTGATATGTTCATTTAAAATCAGATTAACAGATTCAACTTTTGAGGAATTGTATAGAGATATACTTACTTGGAAAAGTAATGTCTCCGTTACCAAAGGGCAAGTTTTATGGAAGACTTTTCACAATTATTTATATTCTTTAGTAGAGCCTTTGTAAAATTTGCAACGCTGTGATATTGGTAAAAATTATAATAATAAACTTTCACAAAGCGCTTGTTTCATCATATCTACTGACTATATTCAGCATATAAAAACAATCCTCACTAATTCCGGTCCCATTTCTCCTTATTATCCACTTTGTTTCTAGCCGACGTCACAGGTAACAGACCGACGTCTTTTTTTTCCAAAGCTCTTCCCGCCGAAAAGGTGAGCACGCGAACGCAACGTTGGGCGCCATCTTTTGTTTATTTTTTTTAATTCTGCGGTTGCGTTCGGGATAGGAGATTGCCCTCGGGCCTAAACAGTCAGTCAAAAGTCACGCGTTAGGAAACCTGGTTAGAAGAAAAAAAGTAGAGAAGGGTCGTTCGTGAATGATACAGTTTTTTCGGTAAATTAGAGATTTGGTGCAACGTTTTTTAGAAAGAAATTGCGTGGCCGACGCCAGTAATAATATGTCTGGACGATTTTTAGTCTATACTCGGAATACGTTGTTTTAAAATTTCATTTTTAATCATTTCCGAGGACTTTAAAGATGTCCTTTCTTCTTAAATGCGTTTCCTTTTAAATAAATCAGAAAAGTATTTGCAATACACATATACAGTTACACGAATGTATATTTAAAACATGATTTTTATTAGTTTAAATATTTTATTATCACAATTTTAAAATATAATCTCGGAACCTTTTTACATCCCTCTTATTATTAGCATCAAACGCAGAGGATCGAAGAGTTTTCATACATGGTTACAGTTTCATAAATTAGAATGAGTGATGCTTTATTTATATAAAATGATCGTTGTTTTTATTATTACACAATGTTTAAACAAATGATACGCGCCATTATATCCCATTTGCCGCCGAATTTGTACTAGTGGCGCCATCTAACTTAGTCTATGGTGCCGCGGGCGCCGCGCGTGCTTTGAGCCAACTTTTTGTTTTTAATATAAACCCCTTATAATTACGGTTATTAGATGGTTTACGTATTTCAGATGACCCTTCTAATTGCAGGCGGCAGCCCGTAGCTTTCCTCTTTTTTTAAACATCCCGATGTATGTACATTTACATTTTATTAGTTGAAGTAATTAGTACGCGTAAGTTGACAAGCGTTCGAGTATCGGTATCGTACCTTTTTGAATTTCATCGATGAAAATTTAAGTAGTTCATAAAACATAACACAAATAATTTTGACTTTTGCTGTTGGTTTTTATAATTTTTATTCTGGTAAAAGGGGAATCTACAAGAAACAGGGTATAATTGGGGAAAAATAATTCTATTCTTTTATCTATGCATTTAAATCGAATCGAAAGAAACTTAGTTATTTACTAATAACTGATTTTTTTAAAGAATGAAGTGCCGGAACCGCAAATATTTGTAATCCAGGAGTTAAAAGTAATAACACCTGCTTGCTACTTTTAAAACATAAGAATATTTATTGTTTGAAAACCAGAATCATTACCAAGTCTTAACAAAACTAATAACTTGTAAATATTAGTTAATTTTAAAGATAACCGCTTTGTGTTCGCGCTAAAATGCATGTCACAGATTAACTAATTAAATTATCCATGGCTTTCAAGCCGCTCGCTCCAACGCCTTTGCCGCGGGGCGTCCCGAAAAAAAAATAAAAAAGTCAAAGCGGAAAGCTTTGGCGCCACTGACACTTCGCTTTTATAGTTCGACCCCGCCCACGGCGCCGAAACGAAGTGAAGATAGTTATATTTTTAAGACTTCGTTACACATTAATATTTTATTAGTTAAAAGATATTAGGATTTAGTTTTATTTCTTTATAATCGTAATTTCTAAATTCAATTCTTAACAAACTTGTATTAATCTTGCTGGAACCGATTTTTTGTGTCACATAACCTATAAAATATTGATATGATTAAAGTTAACGAGATAATAAGTTTTTTAAGCTTAAGAAGTAGGTATTATTATATTTTAATTCCAGTAATATAATTGCATGGTTGTATTAGCGATTATCCATTTCAATACTATAATTGTTCTGAAGTTCGCTACAACGTAATTTGAATTCGAGAATCGATTAAATTGATCGATT